CCAGTAGACATCACATCACACCCAGTAGACATCACATCACACCCAGTAGACATCACATCACACCCAGTAGACATCACACCCAGTAGACATCACACCACACCCAGTAGACATCACATCACACCCAGTAGACATCACACCCAGTAGACATCACATCACACCCAGTAGACATCACATCACACCCAGTAGACATCACATCACACCCAGTAGACATCACATCTACACCCAGTAGACATCACATCACACCCAGTAGACATCACATCACACCCAGTAGACATCACATCACACCCAGTAGACATCACATCACACCCAGTAGACATCACATCACACCCAGTAGACATCACACCCAGTAGACATCACACCACACCCAGTAGACATCACATCACACCCAGTAGACATCACATCACACCCAGTAGACATCACACCCAGTAGACATCACATCACACCCAGTAGACATCACATCACACCCAGTAGACATCACACCCAGTAGACATCACATCACACCCAGTAGACATCACACCACACCCAGTAGACATCACATCACACCCAGTAGACATCACACCCAGTAGACATCACATCACACCCAGTAGACATCACATCACACCCAGTAGACATCACACCCAGCAGACATCACATCACACCCAGTAGACATCACATCACACCCAGTAGACATCACATCACACCCAGTAGACATCACATCACACCCAGTAGACATCACATCACACCCAGTAGACATCACACCCAGTAGACATCATATCACACCCAGTAGACATCACATCACACCCAGTAGACATCACACCCAGTAGACATCACACCCAGTAGACATCACACCACACCCAGTAGACATCACATCACACCCAGTAGACATCACATCACACCCAGTAGACATCACACCCAGTAGACATCACATCACACCCAGTAGACATCACATCACACCCAGTAGACATCACACCCAGTAGACATCACATCACACCCAGTAGACATCACACCACACCCAGTAGACATCACATCACACCCAGTAGACATCACACCCAGTAGACATCACATCACACCCAGTAGACATCACATCACACCCAGTAGACATCACACCCAGCAGACATCACATCACACCCAGTAGACATCACATCACACCCAGTAGACATCACATCACACCCAGTAGACATCACATCACACCCAGTAGACATCACATCACACCCAGTAGACATCACACCCAGTAGACATCATATCACACCCAGTAGACATCACATCACACCCAGTAGACATCACACCCAGTAGACATCAGACCCAGTAGACATCACATCACACCCAGTAGACATCACACCCAGTAGACATCATATCACACCCAGTAGACATCACATCTACACCCAGTAGACATCACATCACACCCAGTAGACATCACATCACACCCTGTAGACATCACACCCAGTAGACATCACATCACACCCAGTAGACATCACATCACACCCAGTAGACATCACATCACACCCAGTAGACATCACACCCAGTAGACATCACATCACACCCTGTAGACATCACATCTAGTAGACATCACACCCAGTAGACATCACATCACACCCAGTAGACATCACATCACACCCAGTAGACATCACATCACACCCAGTAGACATCACACCCAGTAGACATCACATCACACCCAGTAGACATCACATCACACCCAGTAGACATCACATCACACCCAGTAGACATCACATCACACCCAGTAGACATCACATCACACCCAGTAGACATCACATCACACCCAGTAGACATCACATCACACCCAGTAGACATCACACCCAGTAGACATCACACCCAGTAGACATCACATCACACCCAGTAGACATCACACCCAGTAGACATCACATCACACCCAGTAGACATCACATCACACACAGTAGACATCACATCACACCCAGTAGACATCACATCACACCCAGTAGACATCACATCACACCCAGTAGACATCACATCACACTCAGTAGACATCACACCCAGTAGACATCACATCACACCCAGTAGACATCACATCACACCCAGTAGACATCACATCACACCCAGTAGACATCACATCACACCCAGTAGACATCACATCACACCCAGTAGGGATCACATCACACCCAGTAGACATCACATCACACCCAGTAGACATCACATCACACCCAGTAGACATCACACCCAGTAGACATCACATCACACCCAGTAGACATCACATCACACCCAGTAGACATCACATCACACCCAGTAGACATCACATCACACACAGTAGACATCACACCCACCCAGTAGACATCACACCCAGTAGACATCACATCACACCCAGTAGACATCACACCCAGTAGACATCACATCACACCCAGTAGACATCACATCACACCCAGTAGACATCACATCACACCCAGTAGACATCACATCACACCCAGTAGACATCACACCCAGTAGACATCACACCCAGTAGACATCACATCACACCCAGTAGACATCACATCACACCCAGTAGACATCACATCACACCCAGTAGGGATCACATCACACCCAGTAGACATCACATCACACCCAGTAGACATCACATCACACCCAGTAGACATCACATCACACCCAGTAGACATCACATCACACCCAGTAGACATCACATCAAGTAGACATCACATCACACCCAGTAGACATCACATCACACCCAGTAGACATCACATCACACCCAGTAGACATCACATCACACCCAGTAGACATCACATCACACCCAGTAGACATCACATCACACCCAGTAGGGATCACATCACACCCAGTAGACATCACATCACACCCAGTAGACATCACATCACACCCAGTAGACATCACATCACACCCAGTAGACATCACACCCAGTAGACATCACATCACACCCAGTAGACATCATATCACACCCAGTAGACATCACATCACACCCAGTAGACATCACATCACACCCAGTAGACATCACACCCAGCAGACATCACATCACACCCAGTATACATCACATCACACCCAGTAGACATCACATCACACCCAGTAGACATCACATCACACCCAGTAGACATCACATCACACCCAGTAGACATCACATCACACCCAGTAGGGATCACATCACACCCAGTAGACATCACACCCAGCAGACATCACATCACACCCAGTAGACATCACATCACACCCAGTAGACATCACATCACACCCAGTAGACATCACATCACACCCAGTAGACATCATATCACACCCAGTAGACATCACACCCAGTAGACATCACATCACACCCAGTAGACATCACATCTAGTAGACATCACATCTACACCCAGTAGACATCACACCCAGTAGACATCACATCACACCCTGTAGACATCACATCTAGTAGACATCACACCCAGTAGACATCACACCCAGTAGACATCACATCACACCCAGTAGACATCACATCACACCCAGTAGACATCACATCACACCCAGTAGACATCACATCACACCCAGTAGACATCACATCACACCCAGTAGACATCATATCACACCCAGTAGACATCACATCACACCCAGTAGACATCACATCACACCCAGTAGACATCACATCACACCCAGTAGACATCACATCTACACCCAGTAGACATCACATCACACCCAGTAGACATCACATCACACCCAGTAGACATCACATCACACCCTGTAGACATCACATCTAGTAGACATCACACCCAGTAGACATCACACCCAGTAGACATCACATCAAACCCAGTAGACATCACATCACACCCAGTAGACATCACATCTACACCCAGTAGACATCACACCCAGTAGACATCACATCAAACCCAGTAGACATCACATCACACCCAGTAGACATCACATCACACCCAGTAGACATCACATCTACACCCAGTAGACATCACACCCAGTAGACATCACATCACACCCAGTAGACATCACATCACACCCAGTAGACATCATATCACACCCAGTAGACATCACATCACACCCAGTAGACATCACATCACACCCAGTAGACATCACATCTACACCCAGTAGACATCACACCCAGTAGACATCACATCACACCCAGTAGACATCACACCCAGTAGACATCACATCACACCCAGTAGACATCACATCACACCCTGTAGACATCACATCACACCCAGTAGGGATCACATCACACCCAGTAGGGATCACATCACACCCAGTAGACATCACATCACACCCAGTAGACATCACATCACACCCAGTAGACATCACACCCAGTAGACATCAGACCCAGTAGACATCACATCACACCCAGTAGACATCACACCCAGTATACATCACATCACACCCAGTAGACATCACATCACACCCAGTAGACATCACACCCAGCAGACATCACACCACACCCAGTAGACATCACATCACACCCTGTAGACATCACACCCAGTAGACATCACATCACACCCAGTAGACATCACACCCAGTAGACATCACATCACACCCAGTAGACATCACACCCAGTAGACATCACATCACACCCAGTAGACATCACATCACACCCAGTAGACATCACATCACACCCAGTAGACATCACATCACACCCAGTAGACATCACATCACACCAAGTAGACATCACATCACACCCAGTAGACATCACATCACACCCAGTAGACATCACACTCAGTAGACATCACATCACACCCAGTAGACATCACACCCAGTAGACATCACATCACACCCAGTAGACATCACATCACACCCAGTAGACATCACATCACACCCAGTAGACATCACATCACACCCAGTAGACATCACATCACACCCAGTAGACATCACATCACACCCAGTAGACATCACATCACACCCAGTAGACATCACATCACACCCATTAAACATCACATCTCCTCTAGACAAATGTCGTCAAATGAAACTAAATGCGATATTAACATATGCTAGATATTTCAGAGCCCAACACTATTTTAATTATCCTAGTCAACGCCTAGGCTTGCTAGATTATGAAAAATAATTTAGAAAGTTGGATTCACCTGTTACAAGCCAGAGCAGCCACACGAGAGCCATGGAGCAACGCATTCTGTTTAACATTCGTCTTTGCGGTACTGGGAGCGTGGAGCCTTATTTATACAGCTGGAAGTGTGTGTGTGTGTGTACGGTGTGGGTGTTTACTTTCTGACCCACACGTGTATAAAAAAAAAGTGCTAAAACACTTGCAAGACAAAGATGTTTCAAGCGATTCCATTATTCTTACCCGAACGTCCAACGACTCATGATACAGAGTAAGAAACCGATTATAATAATTATATTTTAGATTTGATAGGGCTGACGTTTGATAGTGCTGGTCATGATATTTTAGATTTGTTAGGTTCAAACAATGCCAGGCAAAGACCCGCTTGGTTCTACCAAGCTGTTTCTCCTATGGTCTGGGGCGTGGGTTTCTCCTATGGTCTGGGGCGTGGGTTTCTCCTATGGTCTGGGGCGTGGGTTTCTCCTATGGTCTGGGGCGTGGGTTTCTCCTAGGGTCTGGGTTTCTCCTATGGTCTGGGGCGTGGGTTTCTCCTAGGGTCTGGGTTTCTCCTAAGGTCTGGGGCGTGGGTTTCTCCTAAGGTCTGGGGCGTGGGTTTCTCCTAAGGTCTGGGGTGCGGGTTTCTCCTGGGGTGCGGGTTTCTTTTGGATGTATGGATTGGACTTGCATTAAGACAGAGGCGTAGCGACCCTTCCCGGCGCCCGGGGACAAACTTTTCGATTTGCACCCCCCCCCTCAAGATTTCGATTTGCATACCCCCTTCAAACTTTCAATTTGCACCCCCCCCCCCTCGAGATTTCCATTTGCACCCCCACCCCCTCAAACTTTCGATTTGCACCCCCCTCAACCTTTCAATTTATTTTTTCCAACCCATTTTGGCGCCCCCTAAGGTCGGCGCCCGGGGACATATGCCCCCCGCCCCCCCCCCCCCCTCGCTACGCTACTGCATTAAGAACGCGATGACGTAGCAATTGTTTTGGTGAATTCTTTTGATTAATTAGGGGGGAGGGGGTAGAACACTGACGTCATTATTTGGCGGTATTTCGTTTGTTCGGGTTATAGATAATGAAACAAATTAATAAACAACAACATGAGATCCTATATGTGCCCACTTAATGCCACGGAAAATACATTTCAAGCAAGATTCTATTTGTTAAAATTCGGGTATTTTATTATAATAAATAGTATTGTGAACAATCACTAAATATGTAAGGAATAAAAAGAATGTTAAGTACAAATTCTGATTGTGTAAATAATACAACTTGTGATCTACTTCTCAATCTTCTCCCTTGAATAGTCTATTGCTTCCCTTCCTTAACCACAGACGACAAATTAATTTGAGAAATATACATTATCATGTTTAAATTAATTTGAGAAATATACATTATCCTGTTTAAATTAATTTGAGAAATATACATTATCCTGTTTAAAATAAACAACTCATCTAATGGTTATCTCAAAATTAAAAACCATTTTCAAAGAGCTGGGTACATTTCCTAACATGAGTCAGGTAGGCAAGCATTAGTGAGATTCTGTGAACACAAGCCCAATGTTTAGCAAAGTTTACATTTCAAACTTTTACAATTCTCTCATGTTCATTTGCTAATCGTTATTAGTGTGTGCATGTGGATTTCTTTAATGCATAACTTTGAAAAGTTGTACAAATGTAAAAACACAGTATACAAACATTCCAGATGGGGAACAAAAGATTGATCAAAAGATTGATCAGGTGATACAATGGAAGTGGAGATGTGGACAACTGGCTGTAAATGACCGACCACATGTTAATCTGGTTCATGTCTGTGTAGCAGATTGGTGGAAAGGAATAACTCATTGTAAAATAAAACTATAAGTAATGTAAAATATACCGTTATAAGTTTAAAAATCTAAAGTAAAAGGAAAGTTACCACACACAACCATGCATACACACTAACACATACACAACAGACATATTCAACACACACATATATATATATTTGTTTTGAAAAAGCATATATATATATATATATGATATATATATATATATATATATATATATATATATATATATATATATATATATATATGTATATATATATATATATATATATATAACATATATATATATATGATATATACATAATGTATACAGGATATATATATATATATATATATATATATATATATATATATATATATATATATATATATGTAGGATATATACATATGTATACATATGTATATATATATATATATATATATATATATGTATGTATATATATATATATATACATGTATGTATATATATATATATATATATATATATATATATATATATATATATATATATATATATATATATATGACTGTCCAGCTAATGTACTGCTAGGATGACTGTCCAGCTAATGTAATGCTAGGATGATTGTCCATCTAATGCTAGGATGACTGTCCAGCTAATGCTACAATGACTGTCCAGCTAATGTAATGCTAGGATGACCGTCCAGCTAATGCTAGGATGACTGTCCAGCTAATGCTAGGATGACTGTCCAGCTAATGCTACAATGACTGTCCAGCTAATGCTACAATGACTGTCCAGCGATTGTTACAATGACTGTCCAGCTAATGCTTGGATGACTGTCCAGCTAATGCTACGATGACTGTCCAGCTAATGTAATGCTAGGTTGACTGTCCAGCTAATGCTACAATGACTGTCCAGCTAATGCTACGATGACTGTCCAGCTACTGCTAAGATGTTGTCCAGCTAATGTAATGCTAGGATGACTGTCCAGCTAATGCTACAATGACTGTCCAGCTAATGCTACAATGACTGTCCAGCTAATGCTAGGTTGACTGTCCAGCTAATGCTAGGTTGACTGTCCAGCTAATGCTACAATGACTGTCCAGCTAATGCTACGATGACTGTCCAGCTACTGCTAAGATGTTGTCCAGCTAATGTAATGCTAGGATGACTGTCCAGCTAATGCTACAATGACTGTCCAGCTAATGCTAGGTTGACTGTCCAGCTAATGCTAGGTTGACTGTCCAGCTAATGCTACAATGACTGTCCAGCTAATGCTACGATGACTGTCCAGCTAATGTAATGCTAGGATGACTGTCCAGCTAATGCTAGGTTGACTGTCCAGCTAATGCTAGGTTGACTGTCCAGCTAATGCTACAATGACTGTCCAGCTACTGCTAAGATGTTGTCCAGCTAATGTAATGCTAGGAGGACTGTGACTATAGCCAGAACTGTAGAAATTGTGAGAGTGGGTGTACTGCTAGCAGATGGCTCAATGCTGATTTGTTTTATCCGAGCATTCACCCAATTGGTAGCCAACACATCATCAGTCAATAGAGGAAGTAGAGTTTCTCTGATCTTGGCATTGTATTCATTCAACCATTTCACCTGCAATATGAACGTAGATCTATATACTTCTCCATTTCAGGGTACCAGTTTGTATGCTAGCCTACATAAAATGTATTTAAAATTATTTTAACAATAGGTGATTTCTAAGTTGTAAATAAATCAGAAAACAGGATACACTATCTGAATCGTTCTACTAAAATCAATCCACAATTAATTGTAATGTTACAAAAAACGAAATCTATTAATGTCTGGAGTAGAACAAACTAATTTTACAGCTGTTTTTAGCAAAGGATCTCACCTGGTTCTGGTTCATCAAGCTCAGCTCAATTAGGTTGGTTTCAAACGGCACCAGCGTGACCGGGACAAACTCAAGAAAGGTCTGGTTGGCTGTGTCGTACTGTCAGTGATAGAACCAGATCAATAATTCAATAATTCAACTGATAGAACAAGTTAGATAAATAATTCAACTGATAGAAGCAGGTAGATAAATAATTCAACTGATAGAAGCAGTTAGATCAATAATTCAACTGATAGAAGCAGTTAGATCAATAATTCAACTGATAGAAGCAGTTAGATCAATAATTCAACTGATAGAAGCAGTTAGGTAAATAATTCAACTGATAGAAGCAGTTAGATCAATAATTCAACTGATAGAAGCAGTTAGATCAATAATTCAACTGATAGAACAAGGTAGATAAATAATTCAACTGATAGAAGCAGTTAGATCAATAATTCAATAATTCAACTGATAGAAGCAGTTAAATAAATAATTCAACTGATAGAAGCAGGTAGATCAATAACTGAACCCAGTTTGAAATAAGGGGAAGTAATTTTTTCAAGGATGCAGAGTGGATAACATTTGGTAGTGTGGGTAACATGTGGTAGAGTGGTTCTGTAGAGTGGGTTTCATGTGGTAGAGTGGGTAACATGTGGTAGTGTGGGTAACATGTGGTAGTGTGGGTAACACGTGGCAGTGTGGGTAACACGTGGCAGTGTGGGTAACATGTGGTAGTGTGGGTAACATGTGGTAGTGTGGGTAACATGTGGTAGTGTGGGTAACATGTGGTAGTGTGGGTAACATGTGGTAGTGTGGGTAACATGTGGTAGTGTGGGTAACACGTGGCAGTGTGGGTAACACGTGGCAGTGTGGGTAACATGTGGTAGTGTGGGTAACATGTGGTAGTGTGGGTAACATGTGGTAGTGTGGGTAACATGTGGTAGTGTGGGTAACATGTGGTAGTGTGGTACTTTAGAGTGGGTAACATGTGGTAGTGTGGGTAACATGTGGTAGTGTGGTACTTTAGAGTGGGTAACATGTGGTAGTGTGGGTAACATGTGGTAGTGTGGTACTTTAGAGTGGGTAACATGTGGTAGTGTGGTACTTTAGACTGGGTAACATGTGGTAGAGTGGGTTACATGTGGTAGAGTGGTTCTGTAGAGTGGGTTACATTCAGAGGGGAGGGCGGGGGGGGGGGGAGGGGGGGTACATATGTTCCTGGGCGCCGACCTTAGGGGGTGCCAAAATGGGTTTGAAAAACTAATTGAAAATTTGAGGGGGGTGCAAATTGAAAGGTTGTTCCCGAGGGGGCGCCAAATTGAAAGTTTGTCCCTGGGCGCCGGGAAGCGTCACTACGCCTCTGGTTACATTTGGTAGTGTGGTAGAGTTGGTTACATCTGGTAATGTGGTAGTGTAGGTAACATCTGGTAGTGTAGTAGA